ATGCAACATGTCCAAAAACTGATTTATAGTTCATTTCTGTAACCCTGGTTTTTTTTTATTTTATTTTCAAATTTAATTTACAGGATTTTGTCTTTCAGTTTTAAACCATCAGCTTCAGAGGGAAAGTTTGACTGAACATGAAGACTTTCAACAATAAGAACAGTTTTAATATCTGGACTGTAAATGTGTCAGATTGACCCCAACTCTGGAGGTCAAACTGTTAATCATGGCGGCCTGAGGAAGAGCGCCCCCTGCTGGGGAAAAACATTCAGCTCTGAAGGAAAGTTTGGTTTTTATAAAGTATTTCTACATGGTGACTCATATAAAGTTTTATTAGATAAAACAATGAAAGCTTCATTTCCCAGAGCAGTGATGATTTATTAGATATTTTACTGTCTAATGAATAAAGTGACTGAAAACATGAGGAATTAAAGCTGATCAGGTTAAATGTATTTAATCCATTTCATGTCAGAAGGTTTAATCTGAACTCTGAGTGATTTTTCCTCCATCTAGTTTCAGTCAAAGTGTTTCCTGATTAAAAGGAAGAGGGAGGGTCCGACTGTGTGGTTCTGACAGAACCCGGTGAAAACAGTCAGATCTCTGAGAGCCGCCATGAAGGAAACATCCGTCAGGTTTCTGCTCCGTGAGTACAGAAAATGTGTTCTGATGTGTGTTCATGTGCTGCTGCTGGTTGACTGAGAGACACTGAGAGGACGAGGAGACGGGCTGCAGATTTATTCACTAGATGAACAAGGAGTCCAGATGTATTTAAACCAGATTCAGTCGCATTTAAGCAGTTTGAGATGCATTTAAACCAGTTTCAGTCGTATTTAAATCACGGAGCAGAAAAAGGGTTTTAAATGTTCTCTAGTTTCCTCAGAAAACTTTAAATATTTTCCTGTTTGTGTGAATCAGAAGCTTAAAGGCGTCAAAGTGATGAATTTGCTCTTCATGCCAGACCTGCAGCCATGTTGTAGTTTCCATCATAACAGCCGTTACATGCAGTAACATGTGCAGCAGCTGGATGATGAGGGAAGCTGCAGCACAGAGACGATGCTTCCTGTCATCCTCCTTCCTGCTGCAGCAAACGGCCACATGTGATGAGCTGAAGGTCAGGAGGAGCCGAGAGGTTCAGAGAACCAGAGGAAGCTCAGAACACGTCCAAGAGGAACCTCTGAGTCACATGACTGAACTGAACTGAGGAACAAGTGTGACGCTAATATTAATAACTAACTGGTTGTTAACCAGAGAGTTTCAGCCCCAAGCTGAGAGTCTAATAATAACCTGTGATCTGCGTCAGTCTGACTGTTTTATTCTTGATCTCTGCAGAGGAACAAACTTCAGACAACAGGGCCTGAAAAATTAAAGATATTTTATTCATTGACAGGAGCTACAGTTTATACAGTCATCTGTCATTGCAGCTTGGCTGGTATAGAGATAGGGTCACTGTAACCCTAACCCTAACCCTAAACTGTCCATGAATGTAACAAACAGAATCAGTGACAAACATCAGACCTGGTGGAGTCCAACCCTCAGCAGGAACCATCAGACTTACTGCCAGCAATGCAGATATTTATATAAGATATATTTTATATTTAGTTATTCAAAATGATTCTTTATTCTCTCTTTAGTTCTGACCTCAGTGCTGATCTGCACAACAACGCAAGGTTGGTTCACTTTATATATATCTAAGTATATAAAGTATAAACTTTACACATTAAAACCTCAGACGCACAAAAACCACAAGAACATTTTGTTTCATGGTGAGACTTTTATTCAAAATAAAAAGCAGAAGATTTTCCTTCCAGCTGTTGCTCTGACTGTGAGTCCCAGCAGATCCCAGTTCTTTGTGAGAGAATCAGTGACTCTGATCTGTGAGGATGAAAACAGATCAGCTGGATGGACAGTGAGGAGAAACACCAGCAGAGAGACCAGGAAGCCATGTGGAGATGGATGGGGGAAACCAGCTGGTTCTACCTGTTACATGAACTATCTCATCACATATGACACTGGTCTGTACTGGTGTGAGTCCATCAATGGATCGTCCAGCAGCAGCAGCTGCAGCTGCAGCAGCTGCAGCAGCAACAGCTGCAGCAGCAGCAGCAGCAGCTGCAGCATCCAGCTCTCTGTCTCTGGTAAGATCAGACTGTGGAGTTAGTGTTGCTGTGTGGAAATGGATGAAATGCTGTAGTTTGTCTCTGTGTTGAAAGGATCAGTGATCCTGCAGAGTCCTGTCCTCCTGTGATGGAGGGAGATGACGTCACTCTGAGCTGCAGAGCAAGGAATCCAACCCACAACCTCCCAGCTGCTTTCTATAAAGATGGCTCCTTCATTGGTGATGGATCAGCAGGCAGCATGACCCTCCTCCATGTTTCCAGCTCTGATGAAGGCCTCTATAAATGTAGCATCAGCGGTTCTGGAGAGTCTCCATCCAGCAGGGTCTCTGTCAAAGGTCAGAGGTCAGCAGCTTCTCTGTCTCTTCATCAGGAAACAAGAAGTAAATGATTCTCTGGTTCATTTCAGGGAGAATCTCCTCCACCTCCATCCCTTCCTCCATCTCTCCTCCTCCTGGTTCATCTTTTCCCTCCATCATATCAGTTTCTGCCATTTTTATCTTCCTGGTTTTGCTCTCATTAATTCCTCTGGTTCTTCTGGTGAGACGATGTTTCTGCAGGAAACCTGAAGGTGAACTTTGAATATTGTTTTTTTTCGCTCATTTTAACAGACATGCAGTTTAATCTTTGTTTTTCTTGTTGCATGTTTTGTTTTTTATTATTTTCAAAAACTGTTTATTTCAGCTGAAGAAGGAAAAGATGGAGAAAAGGAAATTAGAGAACTGAAAACCTTCATTAACCAGCTGCAGCCAATCAGAAGCAGGAGAGGTAACAAGCTAACAGCTCAGTGGTTATTAATGCTAACAGCTAACAGCTCAGTGGTTATTAATGCTAACAGCTAACAGCTCTGTGGTCGTCCAGCTTCCTGTTGTTGTAGGAAACATGCAGGTCAAACTGGAGTTGCTCTGGAGAACTGGGAGGTTTAAACTGGTTTCCAGTTGGAGCAGCAGACATAAGGAGGATCCAGCCTCCTGTCTGCAGTTTGACCAGGAAGCTGATAAAAGACTTCCTGCAGCTCAGAGTGGATCACTGAGTGGATCACTGTGTGGATCACTGAGTGGATCACTGAGTGGATCACTGAGTGGATCACTGTGTGGATCACTGAGTGGATCACTGAGTGGATCACTGAGTGGATCACTGAGTGGATCAGAGCTGCACTAACCTCACTGTTTGTGCTGCAGGAACCTCTACATGTGTCCTCTACTCAGCGCTGAGGACAGACGTCCATCAGGGACGGATCGTCTGCAGAGCCTCAGCGGCTTCGTCTCCAATCTGAGGAAATCTGGTCCAAATCACCAGCACAGAGATCTGGATCTGTTTTCCTGCTGCAGCAGCTCCAAGCCTTTAACATCTGGCCCACAGCATGATACCCACTGACCCGGTTCTGGTCCATCGCTCTGATCCTCTCAGACTTTCTCTGTCAGGAGGTCAAAGGTCACAGCATCTGACTGCAGGGTTTAGAAACAACCCATGAGTTTCTGCTGAATTGTCCTGGACCAACATCCAGTCATCACGTGACACCATGAACATGTGATTCATGCTGCCACCTGGTGACAGGAATCTGGTACTACAATCACAATATCTCAGCGTAAAACAGGAGCGTCCAAACTGTCCTAAACAAAGTCCGACTTTGGACACGGTTTACAAGAAAGACACTTGTTTTAATATCATCCTTCCATTTTCTAACAGCTTGTCCCAGTGGGGTCAGAGGTCAGGAGGTTCTGCTGCCTCTCCAACTCAGGTTCTGGGCGAGAGGCGGGGTCACCTGGACGGGTCACCTGGACGGGTCACCTGGACGGGTCACCTGGACGGGTCACCTGGACGGGTCACCTGTCTGTCACACAACTGTTTTAATACCTGATCAGGTTTTAGAGAAATCTGATTCTATCAGTTATATTTGTGAAAAAGAAGAATCAAAAATAAAATTAATATTTACCGTAAAGACATTCTATATTTTGATGCAAAATAAAAGTGGCTCTATATTTTTCATCAGGATGTACAAAATAGAACCACAGTATATTCTTGCACAGTTATGGTTATGTATATATCTGCATAAAGTACAACATTTTAAATAATAAACACCAAATATGCACATTTTTCTTTTACTTCAAATATTGTATGCATGGATTATTTTTAGGATTATTTGTGATGTAGAAACATAAAGACAGTGAAGATAAAAATGAACCTGAGTTACTTTGGCAGAAACAAAAATCCTCTTCTGCACATTAAACATTAAATTATCCACATTTGTCTTGTGTTGTATTTATTTATCTAAAATAAAATAATAATAAAACTGTAATAAAGTGGTTTACATACAGTTCCAGGTATAGTTCTGAGTCGGCCAGTTTATTACAATGTGTCAGCTGAAAATCAGTATTGATGTGGCTGAATGTTCCACCATATAAAGACATGATACCAACATGTTGTCTGTGTGATTCTTCCAAGCCAAGAATATCACAAAACCTGCTTCAGTGTGAAGAGCTTCATAAGCAAGGTATCATAAAAACTTGATCCAGTTTCATTCACCAACATTCAGACGTCAGACGGGAAACTTTACAAAATCTCTGAGGCCAAACGTGAGTCCAGAGAAAACCAACATGGCCGACTGGGAAGCAGGTTGTTCAGGATGTAACCGTGATGATGAGGGCTGGAAACAAGGCCTTTCCTTCTTGTTCTGCACAGTTCCTGGTTCAGATCCAATAGTTCTGGCAGGAACTGACTGAGTTCATGTCTCTGGTTGCTCTTCCTCAGGGTTCATGCTGCTCACACTCCCAAGAGTCGTGCTTTATTTATTTTAAAATGGTTGCTGCTGCCGTGTCCACCCGGTTCTTCTGCTACGGTCTTCTGATCCAGATTGTAGGAGTCAGTAATATTCTTCAGCTTTAAAGTGAAATGGTTCCTGCAACAGCTGGACTTCTGTGAGAGACGCCCACAAAGCCACTGGAACCAAGACAGAGCAGAGCGTCGCGCTACGTTCATGTGAACATGGCCACTAACAGAGCAGACAGGTGGAAACAGGCCACGTTTTCACCAACACTGGTTTATTTGTGCTGAAATCTGGTTGAGACCAGTTTCAGTCAAAGTCAGTGGAACCAGCAGCAGCTGGTTTCTGTGGTTCAGACGAGATGAACAGGATGTGCTAACAGGAAACAGGCTGCAGGCCACTGAGCTGACTGGTGTCATGCAAAAAAACTCTTTCTAAGGACTGTTCAGGTAGAAGCACTCAATCAGGTTCATTCATGCATTCTGCACAATTATAAGAGCTCATAAGATAATCAAGCCGGTCTGGATTCAAGTCTAACCCAGCTCACTAAGCTCTGCCAGGCAGAGACAACATGAAAGTTTTCATACAATGATTAGGAAGGAAAGCAAGAGGCAAGAAGGTCTGGTCCTTATGCAGCTGTGGAAAACAACCTTCCTCAGTAACCCTCTCCATTTCCCGGGCTTGGGACCGTCATTAGGAATGTTCGGTCTTGTGTCTGTCCAATGGCTGGATTACACTGATGTAAGCAGGGCAAAGCATAATAACAATATCTGCTGATGTTTACAGCTGCTAGTCAGGGCTGAAGAGCCTCTACAGTTTCATCCTGGGGAGGAGAAACATTTCTCTTCTTCCAGACAAACACAACCAGAGGAGCTAGAACAGCAACCACAGCAAACATCACCAGAACCGGTACAATGTGTCCTCCACCTGCAGAACAGAACCAGGAGTTAGTCTGATCCCACTGAAGATCATCATTATCTGATCTGAGATCCAGAACCAGGACCTGCTGGTTCTGATCCAGAGACAAACACTCACCTGGAGGAGCAGCAGGAGGAGCAGCAGGAGGAGCTACATGCAGGTAGACAGTGTTGATTGACTGCATAATGTTTCTCTTATTACGTTTTGTTTCTCCCTGAACATAACACTCATATGTTCCTCTGTCCTCAAGTTTCACGTTCCTCAGCTTCAAAGACACGTTTCCTTTCTCCATGTCCACCAGATCAACTCGACCCTTGAACCTTTGTTCTGGAATATCCAGATCTGGGTTGTTTTTGTTAAACATTAGAACATATTTAAGCTCTTGTATCTCTGCCCCAGGTCTGCTCCACTCCACAACTTCTAATAGCCTGTAGTCGTTGGCTTCACATGGCAGAGTGACATTGTCTCCAACTGTAACATTGATGTTCACACCTGCAGGAGAGAAAACAGCACAGAGAGGATTAATGGAAATGAACCTTCTGAATTAAACTGTAGAGAAGAGACAGTCTCTACAGAACTGACCTCTGACCTCCCATTCATCAGCAAAGTTATTGAAAAAACTGTAAACAATTAAATAGTTTCCTCATGATGACCAACTGCTTTCACTCTTTCCAGTCTGGTTTTCATGCTCACCACAGCACGGAGACTGGCCTAGTCAAAGTATTCAATGATATCCATATAAATACGGCCTGTGGCAGAACCACAGTGCTGGTTCTGGTTCTGGTTCTGTTGGACCTCAGTGCAGCTTTTGACATATTACTGAATGGACTGGAGAGTTGGGTTGGACTCTCCGGTTCGGTGCTCGACTGGTTTGAATCTTACATAAAGAACAGGGATTTCTTTGTTTCAATTGGAAACTTCTCATCAAAGAGGTCAAAGGTCACATGTGGGGTACCCCAAGGTTCAATCCTAGGACCCCTCTTATTCAATATTTATATTCTCCCACTAGCTCAGGTCATAACAGGAAATAATATTAGATACCATAACTATGCAGATGATACTCAGCTCTACATTATGATGTAGAGATAGAGATGTAGAGTTATAGATCTAGAGCTATAGATCTAGAGTCAATGTACAGCTTCAGTTATTACAACTAAAAACTAGCGATCAGCCTGAAACCTGGGAGTAGTGATGACCTCTGACCTGAACCCTGCGAGCCACATAAAGACAGTAACAAAATCGGCCTTCTATCACCTGAAGAACATCTCCAGGATTAGAGGACTAATGTCTCAGCCAGATCTAGAGAAACTCATCCATGTGTTTATCTTTAGTCACATTGATTATTGTAACAGCGTCTTCACAGGCCTGTACAACAAATCAAGCAAACAGCTGCAGCTGATCCAGAACCAGCTGATCCAGAACCAGCTGGTCCAGAAGCTGCTGATCCAGAACCTGCTGATCCAGAAGCTGCTGGTCCAGAACCAGCTGATCCAGAAGCTGCTGATCCAGAAGCTGCTGCTCCTGTTCTCACTAAAACCAGGAAGATAGAGACATAACAGCAGTTTTAAAGTCCCTCCACTGGCTCCCTGTAGCTCAAAGAATAGATTTTAAAATACTGTTGTTAGTTTATAAATCACTGAACGGTTTAGCACCACAATACATCAAAGATCTGCTGTTGTTGTATCAACCTTCCAGACTCTCAGGTTCTGGTTCTGGTTCTGATCTGCATCCAGAACCAAGAGAGGAGAAGCAGCTTTCAGCATCTATGGACCAAACATCTGGAACAAACTTCCAGAAAACTGTAAAACAGCAGAAACCCTGACTTCCTTTAAATCTCAACTAAAAACCAGCTGATTAGTTTTAATATGTAACAATGTTTTATTGATTCTATGACTTTGTGTTTTTGTGTTTATGATGTAAAGCACTTTGAAATGTCTTGCTGCTGAAATGAGCTATACTAATAAAATTTGATTTGATTTGATTTGATTCTGGACATTAAGAGTGGTTGATCCTACTTGAAAAAACTAATAGATCTTTTGTGGTTTCATGCTGTGAAGGTCAATCACATTACAGTCCTTATGATACCAGAATCTTTCAGAAACAGAAACACATCTTAGAACCTCGACTCTGATCTGGATCATCAGAAGAAATCCAGATTGTAATGTATTTCTGCTAACCTGCAATCAACCAGTAAATATTAGAACATTCCCATGTTGTGATTTTCAGATTCAACAGAACTTTGGAGCTGATGTTTTTATTATTTATCCCAGAAGAGGTAAATAATAAAAACAGTAGCAGAGGCTTTAGAAGAGGAGAGGAGCTCAGCATAACAGATACTGGATGGATGGATGTAGTAAAGATGAATGTGCTTCATCTGTACAGTAGAATCATTTCACACTGATTTTCAGTTAATGGGACACACGACTTAGAAGCTATTGAAGAACTCATATTATTTAATATTCAAATTATTTATCAACCGGTTTCCTTAGTGCGGCCTGTCATTCAGTAGTGCAACAGTAAAACATAAAGTCAGGAGAAAAACAGGTAGTGTGTGAGACAAAGAAACATTTATATTTAGAACCAAAAAACAAAGTAACTAGAACCTCAGCTTACTGCTAAAGGTCCAAAACAAACACAAATAATAATAAATGAAGTATTAATTCTTAGGTTGCTGCTGCTTCTCCAGCTGCCTTCCAGGTGAGAGGCGGCTCACCTGGACAGGTGTCCAGTCTGTCACTTAAACCTTCAACAGAGGATAATGCGCCTCGTGTGACAGAATGAATTATTATCAGTTTTTCTGTTGTTCCGCTAATGGCTAAAGCTACGCGTCATAATGCTCACAATGTGCTTGCAGGGAAAAATGACAGACTGATAATAAATATGTTTAATAATAAACATAATCGCTGCTTGCTCTGTCAATGATGTTTTTATCAAAGATGTTAATGTTTCTAATCAGAAGAAAACAAATGTCTTGAAGTAGAGAACTGACCAATAGCAGGGCCAAAGCCGACAGCAACCAGGAAGAGACACACAACCTTTAACTGTGCGCCTCTTCTGAAGCGCAGAGAGGTTCGGTGGCTTGAGTCCATGTTACTCCTGACACTGTGGCGTCTGTCGTGTTCCGCACACTGAGCGGCACACCTGGCTGTAAACAGGAAATGGCGAAACAGAACACAATTCGGTTCCCCTGTGAAAATCTGTTCCCTCTGCATCGGGAACGCGCATTACAGCCAGACAGGCGAAAGAGGAACCTATACGTGAAGCTGACACCCCACCTACGTCATCAAATCCAGCTGATAGTCTGATTGGTTAGTGCTCCGTTAGTGCAGGTTTGTGCCGTTAAAATATTCGTTTGTGCAGCTTTCGTTGTTGAGATATTAAAAGTTATCATATTTTCAGATTATGTCCCCTCCCCCACCCCGTTTCTTGCTCCAACAAAAAAAATGAAATAGGCTAGTTCGTTATGCAAATGAGAATTTGAGATGACCCCATTATTGTTATTCTTACTATTTTCTAAATATACCAACAAAATCTTATTTTACTTTATTTGGTGGTATCAGAGTGTAATATTCACTGAGCACATTCACCTAATTAGGGGACAATTAATTTCACCTGCTGCATGCTGTCCTCTGTTTCAGTTGTCTTCCAGCAAATTCCTGTCTGTGGGTAAGTTTTGTTTTTGTGTCGTTTTTATGCAATTGAGGTTATTAATTATTATAGAAAAGGTACTTTCTATAATGCCAAGAAGTCATGGCATAATCAATACAGTTAGAAGAAAAATATCTCTGGTAATTTATTATTTTTTTGTGATGCATGAACTTCCATACATGTGTGTTATGGTTAGCTATTCATCCACCCAAATATCTGCATTGTGAGGCAATTGAGAAGTAATGAACCATGGAAGTGGCTGGTTTTAAAATGCAATATAAGTTGACAGTCAAATAAGAAACGGGTTGATTTGAACAATGAACTTTAACAATTGAAACAACAACAACAAACATTGACAATTGGAAATTAATTTCTCCTCTTTGAATACAAACTCCTGTCTTTTGAGATTTATGCAGAAAGAAATATGAAAACATTTACCCAACTGAAACTCAAAATATCAAATCCTTTTCCACATAAGAACTTGCAAAAAGAAAAAAGAAAAAATCTGATCAGGGGTATGTAAACAAGGCATGTTGCTCTCTTCAAACTTTCTCCCCAACTTTTTTCTATCACAGATCTGCTGTGTATAGCACTGCATGTGGAAGTATTTTGTTTGTTTCAGACACTGTCTTCATGATATTGGCAAGGTCATCATAAAGCTCCCACACAGATGGAGCTCTCCGGCAGTATGCAGTGTAATGTCCAAGGCCATCTTTGGTCAAGCTTCCCCTGAAAGCAACGATTCCTCTCAAAGTTAGTGTTTTTCCTTGGAGAACCATAGTGGAGGGAAATTCACTTAACGCAAATTCTGTTGGGTTTGAAAGGTCAGTGTCAACCCATAGTATTCCTCCAAAGCTGTATGTGTGAGTAACAGTTCCTGCACAGAGAACGTTTCCTGAGTTCCTGGCTCCTGTTTTGAATGGAGATGGGCATTCTGATTCATTCTCCAGTGGTCGGAGACAGGGAGACTGTGGAAGGAGGAGTCCTTTTTCTACTGAAGTGCCAAGCTGAGCCATGCCAGAATTCTTCAGGACAGAAATGTCAGGTAAAACAAATGGTACTTCCCTCGTCATTCCTTTGTTTAGGTGGCAGTATTGTGAAGAGCAGAGTTTTGAGAGGTAAACGCTTGATACATTTCTCATTGTCTTCCCAATAATAGTGGAAATATTGCACTGTGCATCAATTTGGTGGGCGCCAGACCTCAACTGTGTTTTTGCAAACATTGAACTAAGCAGATCTGCCCTCTGCAAGTATGTCTTCGGGGTCACACCATCTGTAGCTATGGATTTCACCAGCTGCAAGAGTGGGTTATCACTGTCATTCATGACAAGATTTTGAAATGCAGAGCTGTCACAGAAAGTACAGCATAAGCACTTACAAAAGGCATCATAGGAGCAGGTGTTTAACACAGAGAGTGACAATGTCCCAACTTTAACAGGCTGATGCATGTTTCCATTTTTCAATAGTCCCACTTTCACTCTTTTGGCCCCAGATGATGAATCTGCATGGATCCATTCAGTGCAGGAACTCAGGTATGAAGTCCTATTCCTCTTTTTGGGTGGAAGAATTTGTCCTCTCCAGTTTTCAACCATGTTTTCATCTGCGGTGGAAAGGTTTCTGGTGGCTTCCGATTCCATCACATCGCTAAAATCCATGTTTCTGCTACCTTCAGCATTGTGGGTAATTATGAATGCAGGGTCAGCTTCTGTAACTTCTGCTGATGCAACTTGTCTCTCCTCCTGTTGTGCTTTTGCAGAGCAAATCCGCATATTTCCTTCGATGAAGGAAAGATGCCTAGAAATGAAGCGGTCGACTCGAATGGGTAAGTTATCATGTTTGAAGAGGCCATGTTTTACATTTTTGAATTCTGCTTCAACATTGGCTGAGCTTGCTGTGAGGCTGGTACTTTTGAAGAGGGGAACCATTATTCCTGTCCACAGTGGTAAGTAACTTGCAAGTCTTATAATGTGTGGCACAATCTCAGGGAGGAAATGGATGTTATCCCTATCCCCATTAGATGCAGCGTGTCCTGCTCTCCTCACAAATGTTTGACACCCAGTCTCGTAGGTCAGTCTGGAAGTCATCACATGGATCGACTTGATGCACTTCCTGTGCATCTTCTTCTGGAATGATGATGGAGTCTTCTGCAATCTGTGCTTTCAGGTATTTTTTGCACCTCTCTGACTCAAGAGGGGTTCCAGAGCTATCATCACCTTCTGCCTCACTGAGAGCCACAACAGTGATGGCATGTATTAGCTGCTTTGCATGGTCCAAGCTTTGTGCTTGAAGAAGCTTTGCTATTCCTCTGACAAAGAAGTCTTTGACACGGTGTGACTTCTTTTTCAGGCAGTCCCACTGGCATACCATCTTTATGCAGTGGGCAACATCAACCCTGATGTAACAGGGAGGAAGTTTTGCAGACTGGTTCCCACGTAGCACACGGAAGCATTCATCAATGTCTGACTTCAGGTCAGAAAGAGGAGTAAAGGCCTTCACCAGAGCACCTAGAATAGCCAGGGAAAAGTCACTCACAGCTTCCTTTGGTACAGCTGCACCTGAACGAAGCCAGTCTGTCAGCCATGTTGCAATTGCATTAATGTCATGTCTTTCTGATAGCATTTGTACCACTGGGACTGAGCAGTTGTCTCCCTTCAGAACACCTTGATATAAGAAGATGTGGCCAGATTTACCATTTGGTCGTGTGAGTTTTCTGACGACTGAACCAGTTGCATCAAAGCAAACTACTGAGGGACATTTTTTGGTCAGTGCCTTATAAACATGTATCTGAGTTTGACTCCAATAGTGACAAAAGAATTTATCCAGACCGATATCTCTTATACTGCCACTGTTGGGTGTGCTATATTTTAATAACTGCAAAGATAGAATGGGGTCTTTGTCGCCTAATTCCAAGTCTTTTCTCTCTTGCTTGGCTTTTCGTAAGGTTGCAAGGTTTGGAAGGTGGCTTGGTTCGGGATTTCCAAAAGCCATCAACTCTGATGCCTTTGCTGACCTCCATCCAGCTGGCTCTATCCTACCCTCACAGCTCTTTTGAAATTTGTGCACGAAGGGTTCCTGACATGAATCTTTTGGACTGGCCAGTGTGCAGGGAGATGTCAGCACCTTCGATGGAACACTGGAGCACCATTGGGCTGTTGACCGCTGGCTTGCTGTCGCATGTCATTGTAACATGGCCTTGACAGTCTTTACAGAAGCCTTTGATGTCGATGTACTTATTAGTGACAGTTGGATAACCTTTTGCTCTTTGGAATACAAAAGTACATGTGTGTTTGAATTTTTTCCACACCAGATCATTAATGACATGAGTCCAAGTGCCAGGTTTTAAAACAGTGTAGTTCCTTTTGCCAGATGTTGAAAACTTGTTGTTGTATTCAACAGTTTCAGGTATAAATTGAACCCATTCTTTAAATGGAACTTAAACCTGAAAGTTGTCCAGAAGTGGTGCCAGATTCACACTGTGTCCACAGGGCTTTCAGTGTCACTTTCTTGAACATTTATTTCTAATGTTGCCCAGATGTTGTGTCTGTTCATTTTTACAATAGTGTATAGGGCTTTTGCTGACATCTTATTTTCCAACTGCTGACTTAGCTCTGTCCAGACAGGAGCAGCTGGAGTGGCTATATTTTCTAAGATAGCCTCTTTTGCCTTGCAGAGAAATGCAAAAAGAGACTCTCTGTCTACGGCTGGCTGTCGAGGCATCTAGTTAGAAAACAAAAAGACTTTGATTAGTATTGCTCAAAGTAATAATTCTGGCCTAAATAATTTTTAAAAAGCCACAAAACATTGATATTTTAGCATTGTAAATTACAAAACTCTTAAACTAAAAAAACTTATGTTGGCTTCCCCAATTTCATTTCTACTATTTAACTATAATTCTACTAATTAACTAATATATATATATATATATATATATATATATTATATATATATATATATATATATATATATATATATATATATATATATATATATATACACATATTCAAGAATGCATTGTTACGACTCTTGAATTGGCAATTTAAGTACTTGTTAAATTTTAATTTCCCTTTGGAATAAATTATATTTTATTTGAGTTCAGAAGATGTGCCCTTTAAGTGTTCATGATTAAATTTAAAGGCTTAAAGAAAGTGCCTCACTATCTATGTGTCAATACTTGAAATATAAGTTGTGAATTTAAATAAATGCATATGTAAGCTTTCCATATATAAATCTCTGCTTTTATGGGTGGATTGAGTCAATATTTTACATAAAAACTGAGGATTAGTTTACTTACCTTGTTCGAAAATCAAAATCAGAGGGTTGGAAAAATTCCAAAGATTACTTTTTCAAAACGATTTCTTTCAGACTGCTAAGTAACTTTTTACGATCGGTTGAAATTACACTTGCTACTCCACAAAAACAAGGGAAGGTGGGGGAGGGGGAATCAGTACAGTGTGGGTGGAGCCAAGCTTACGTAGCCACAACTACGTAAAAGTTGCCGAAACATTTTATGTATTTTTAAAAGTACTTGAAACCCATGCACATACATTTTGTGTCATAAATTGTATTAAATGAAACT